AGCAAATGCGTCGCTCGGGGAACCGCGAGGAGAACAAACGGATCCTGATGGACCTGGACGTGGTGCTCAAGAGCCACGACTGCCCCTACATCGTGCAGTGCTTCGGCACCTTCATCACCAATGTGAGACACGCTGGGGACATTGGGGACAGGCTGGGGACATCCTGGGGACATTGGGGACATTGGGGACACACCTGGGGACAATGGGGACATCCTGGGGACATTGGGGACATCCTGGGGACATTGGGGACATCCTGGGGACAGCTGGGGACATCCTGGGGACATCCTGGGGACAATGAGGACACACCTGAGATAGCACAGATACACCTGAGATACACCTGAGATAGCACAGACACACACAGAGAATGGGGGAGCCACGACTGCCCCTACATCGTGCAGTGCTTCGGCACCTTCATCACCAACGTGAGCATTTGGGACACCTGGGGACATCCTGGGGACAATGGGGACATCCTGGGGACATTGGGGACACACCTGAGATAGCACTGACACAGCTGAGATAACACAGATACACCTGGGATAAACATAGAGAGCAGCAGAGCCACGACTGCCCCTACATCGTGCAGTGCTTCGGCACCTTCATCACCAACGTGAGAAACGGGGACACCTGGGGACATTGGGGACACACCTGGGGACATTGGGGACAATGGGGACACACCTGAGATAGCACAGATAGATACAGAGAACAGCAGAGCCACGACTGCCCCTACATCGTGCAGTGCTTCGGCACCTTCATCACTAATGTGAGTGTTGGGGACATTGGGGACATCCTGGGGACAATGGGGACACACCTGAGATACACCTGAGATATCATAGATACACCTGAGATACACCCGGGATATCACTGATAGACATAGAGAACGGGGGAGCCACGAGTGCCCCTACACCGTGCAGTGCTTCGGCACCTTCATCACTAATGTGAGAAATGGGGACACCTGGGGACATCCTGGGGACAATGGGGACACACCTGGGGACAATGGGGACATCCTGGGGACACACCGGAGATAGCACAGATACACCTGAGATAGCACTGATAGACATAGAGAATGGGGGAGCCACGACTGCCCCTACATCGTGCAGTGCTTCGGCACCTTCATCACTAATGTGAGACACGGGGACATTGGGGACATCCTGGGGACATTGGGGACACACCTGAGATATCATAGATACACCTGAGATACACCCGGGATAGCACAGACACACACAGAGAACAGGGGAGCCACGACTGCCCCTACACCGTGCAGTGCTTCGGCACCTTCATCACCAACGTGAGACACGGGGACATTGGGGACATCCTGGGGACATCCTGGGGACAGCTGAGATACACCCTGGGGGGATGGGATACACCCAGGATATCACAGACACACACAGAGAGCAGCAGAGCCACGACTGCCCCTACACCGTGCAGTGCTTCGGCACCTTCATCACCAACGTGAGACCTGGGGACATCCTGGGGACAATGGGGACATCCTGGGGACAGTGACAGACACACCTGGGGACAATGGGGACAGGGACAGACACACCTGAGATAACACAGACACACCTGAGATAACACAGACACACCTGAGATAACACAGACACACCTGAGATAACACAGATACACACAGAGAACGGGGGAGCCATGACTGCCCCTACACCGTGCAGTGCTTCGGCACCTTCATCACCAACGTGAGACACGGGGACAATGGGGACATCCTGGGGACATCCTGGGGACAGCTGGGGACAATGGGGACACACCTGAGATAGCACAGACACACCTGAGATACACCTGGGATATCACAGACACACACAGAGAACGGGGGAGCCACGAGTGCCCCTACATCGTGCAGTGCTTCGGCACCTTCATCACCAACGTGAGAAATGGGGACACCTGGGGACATTGGGGACATCCTGGGGACATTGGGGACAGTGACAGACACACCTGAGATAGCACAGACACACCTGGGATACACCTGAGATAGCACTGATAAACATAGAGAACAGCAGAGCCACGACTGCCCCTACACCGTGCAGTGCTTCGGCACCTTCATCACCAACGTGAGACATGGGGACATTGGGGACATCCTGGGGACATTGGGGACATCCTGGGGACATTGGGGACACACCTGGGGACAGCTGGGATATCACAGATATACCTGAGATAAACATAGAGAATGGGAGCCACGAGTGCCCCTACATCGTGCAGTGCTTCGGCACCTTCATCACCAACGTGAGAAATGGGCACATTGGGGACATCCTGGGGACACACCTGGGGACATTGGGGACAATGGGGACACACCTGGGATAGTACAGACACACCTGAGATATCATAGATAAACATAGAGAACAGCAGAGCCACGACTGCCCCTACATCGTGCAGTGCTTCGGCACCTTCATCACTAATGTGAGAAATGGGGACAATGGGGACATTGGGGACACACCTGGGGACAATGGGGACATCCTGGGGACATCCTGGGGACATTGGGGACACACCTGAGATAGCACAGATACACCTGAGATAGCACTGATAAATATAGAGAACAGCAGAGCCACGACTGCCCCTACATCGTGCAGTGCTTCGGCACCTTCATCACCAACGTGAGCATTGGGGACATTGAGGACATCCTGGGGACATGGGGGACAGGGACAGACACACCTGAGATACACCTGAGATATCATAGATACACCTGAGATACACCTGAGATAGCACAGACACACACAGAGAATGGGGAGCCACGACTGCCTCTACATCGTGCAGTGCTTCGGCACCTTCATCACCAACGTGAGACACGGGGACATTGGGGACATCCTGGGGACATTGGGGACATCCTGGGGACAGCTGGGGACAATGGGGACACACCTGAGATAGCACAGACACACCTGAGATACACCTGAGATAGCACAGACACACACAGAGAACGGGGGAGCCACGACTGCCCCTGCATCGTGCAGTGCTTCGGCACCTTCATCACCAACGTGAGACACGGGGACACCTGGGGACAATGGGGACACACCTGGGATAGCACAGACACACCTGAGATAACACAGATACACCTGGGATAAACATAGACAACAGGGGAGCCACGACTGCCCCTACATCGTGCAGTGCTTCGGCACCTTCATCACCAATGTGAGACCTGGGGACATTGGGGACATCCTGGGGACAATGGGGACACCTGGGGACATTGGGGACACACCTGGGATAGCACAGATACACCTGAGATACACCTGGGGGGATGGGACACACTTGGGGGTACCTGGGGAGGCAACAACTCTCCATCCCAGTCCATCCCAATCCCATCCCAGTCCATCCCAGTCCATCCCAGTTTGATCCCAGTACATCCCAGTCCCTCCCAGTCCATCCCAGTCCATCCCAGTCCATCCCAGTCCCTCCCAGTCCATTCCCAGTATATCCCAGTCCATCCC